ACAAAATGTCTTTTAAAAAACAATAGCAAAAAAGTGAACATTCCAATTACGTTAAAATGTAATTGGAATGCAAAAAACGTGGAGATTCCACCAGAGGATATACAGATGACAAATTTATGAAAAATGTTAACCATCATTATATATTATGGAAACACAAATTCAAATCATAATAAGACACCACTATACACTTATCAAAATGGCTAAAGTAAAAAAAAAATGACAACAATACATATTAGCAAGGATGCAGGGAAACTGGATCATTCATATGTTGCTCATAAGAATGTAAAATAGTACAGTCACTCTGGAAAACACTTTAGCACTTCCTTAAAAATTAAATATGCAACTACCGTATAATCTAGCATCTGTACTCCTGGACATTTATCCCAGAGAAATGAAGATGTTCAGACAAAAATCAGCCCACAAATGTTTATAGTAGATTTACTCATAATAGTTAAAAACTGGAAATAACCCCCAGACATCTCTGAAGAAGTAAATGGTTAAAGAATATGTGGTCCGTCAATACTTTGAATACCACTCAGCAATAAAAAGGAAGGAACTACTGACATTTGCAACAACCTGTATGAAAAACTGATTGAACTCCAGAGGATTATGCTAAATGAAAAAAAAACACTCTCAAAAGGTTATGTGTTGTATGGTTCCATGTATATAACACTCTTGAAATGACCAAATAATACAAATGGAGAACAGATTAGTGGTTTCCAAGGATTAAGGAGGGACTGAAGTAGGAGGGGAGTAGGCAACTAGTGGGTCCCTGTGTGATGGAAATGCTCTCCTAGTTTTAATATTGTACTATAGCCTTGCAAAATGTTATCAAGGGAAATTGGGTAAAGGATCTCTATATTATTTCCTATAGTTTCATATTCTACAATGATCTTAAAATTAAAAATTTAATATATACTTAACATATTACTTATAAAATAGTATTAAATTATCAAAATGTATAATTAATGCATTTAATATATGTGTAATAGACATTAAATCCATATATATGTGTGTGCATATATATATATATATATATATATGCACTTATCTAGAAAGAATACAAATGTCCATCAATAGGATGGATAAATTGTGGTCTATTAGGTCAATGAATATTGTTAAGCAATAGAAAGTAATGAACTGCTGATAATGCAACAATACAGGTGAATCTAAAAACAAAACATAAAAACATATGTTGATCAAAAGAAGTCAGACACAAGAAAATTTATACAATGCACACTATGATTCAATTTGCATGAAAACTTACTAAATGATAGTGTTAGAGATATATACTTAGGTGGTAAATCTAAAAAGAAAAGCGAGGTAGTGATTACCATAAAGGGAAAATAATAGTCCCTGTGGTTGGGAAGGGGAGCTTAGAGTGCCAGCAACGTTTGGTTTCTCTGCCTGGGCAATGGCTGCACAACCATTTGCTTTGTAATTTGTTAAGCTGTACATTTGATGCATTTTCACAGTGTGTTACGTTATATTCATAATAAAAGCAATTTTAAAAGGAATTAAAAGAGATACACCTCAATGTTTAGGGCCTAAGGGGAGAGAATCTTTGGATAATTTTCCTGCTTACCTTTCTGTAGCTTTCTCATAAAGAACAGGAAGTCTGGCGTCAGACCTTACCTTAATTCAAATCCCAGCTCTCTCCTATCAGCTAGACGACCTCAGGCAAGTTGATTAACGGGAAACTTCTATTTCCTTACCTGAGAAATGGGGTAATACAGCTACTCCTCAACTTATGATGAGGTTACATCCCAGTAAACCCATCAAGTTAAAAATGTCATAAGTGGAAAATGCATTTAATACACCTGACCTACTAAACACCATAGCTTAGCCTCACCTACCTTAAACATGCTCACAATACTTTTATTCATCTGCAGTTGGGCAAAATCATCTCACACAATGAATACACTATTGGTATTGGTTGTTTACCCTGGTGATACCATATCTGACTAGGAACATCGGCTCACTGCAGCTAGTCTGAGAAAACATCATAATTCAAAATTCAAAGTACGTCTTCTACCCAATTTGTATCACCTTCACACCATCATAAAATCGAAACCTGTAAGTTAAAGCATCTTAAGTCAGGGACCATCTATATTGGGCAGATGGGCACACAGAACAGTAAGTGCCCGTCCATCCTAAGCCCTCATCCTGTGTTGGCTGCTGTTGTCGTAAGTCTAAATTACCTTTACCATGAAGAAACAAACGTGAAATCCAGTTTTGGCTTATAAACATTCATCACACTTCACTGTGATTGCTTCCTTCTTTCTCTTCTCTGCCTGACAGTGGGCACCGGGGGGCAGTCCGTGTTGACTTGCTGCCATCCTTAGCTCGCAGCTCAGAGCCTGAGTGAAAAGAGCCCAGGTGTTTTGCTTTTAATGCAATGCTGCGGTCATGGCAGAATGTGAACACCTGACAGTGGAACTCAGCACCCACACCCTGCCTCTATCCTTGCTCCCTCAGAGGAGCGAGCCCTATTAGCTCGGGCATGCTAAGTAGCCTAAATGTAGCTCTCTCTGCAGTCCTGGGTCCCACTGCCTCTAGGAAACAGCCCACAGCATGAAGGGAAGGACCCTTTGGCCTTGTTTCAGAGGAAGGATGAGAATGGGGAACGAAGAACGGGGTTGGAAGGCTCCAAGGAAGCCCCATCTGACACTTTGCAGGCTGTCCATGCCTGGACGGTTCTGGGTAAACCCAACTCTGATAAGCTGCAACATCAAGGAAGCCCTGGGGGAGCCAGGAAAGTAGTCCCAGGCCTGGGGGCATTTCCTGGGCCCTATGAGGGAGGCGTGCAGGAAGTGAAGGATTCCCAGAACATGGCATCTCTGGATTTCCCCGCAGAGAAATGAGGCAGTGTAGGGGTTGTGAGACAGCAGCATAGGGTTTCAGAGCTGGCCTATTAGGATGCTAGGTACAGAGAGACTTCCTAGGAGCAAGGCTTTTAAATCTGGAGCATCATCACAGTGGCCAAAGGCTCTGGGACTCCTTAGGAGGCAGCTAGAAGACAGGTGGGCTTGGGGTTCATGGGGTAGAAGCTGCTACTTACTGGTCCAAAATCAGGCTTCCTATAGTCACTTCAATAGCCTAGACAATAGGTCCCCACTGCACAGAGCTACTGAGCTGACAGTCAGAAATGGCCCCAGCTCCATTTCCAGAATCTGCCCCAGCAACTTCCCCTCGTGTCAAAGTAAATACAGGTGAACACAATCCAGCTACAGCCTGACCTCAGACCACAGGACAGCCTCCTTTTCTGTTTCCTTGGAAGACACCTGGCCCCGGAATACTTTTAACCTCTAGAACAGTGGTTCTCAACTTTGGCTGCACATTAGAATCACCTGGGAATGTTTTTAAAATCCTGATTTCTGGGCCTCATCCTCCAGAAATTCTGTTTCTTTGTGATGGGGTGAGGCCACAACATTAGTAACAAAGAAACAGAATTCCCAGAGGATGAGGCCTAGAAGTTAGGATTTTAAAAAGATTCCCAGGTGATTCTAATGTGCAGCCAAAGTTGAGAACCACTGCTCTGAACCTCTGCTGGGAAGGATGAGACTGCTCACTACAGAACCCAGAGGGAGGTAAACTTGCACCACCAGACCAGACAGGGCAAAAGGCAGGCAGCCAGACGCCAGAGAGAAGGCTGAAACACTTTGGCAGCGGTGAGAGCAGTAGCCTTCTCCACTCCCTCTGCCTCATGGGCAGCAGCTGCTCTGATGGGAACCTGGATTTAGGGGAAGGATGAGATCTCACAATTAATGTGGTCATTCAGATAAAGGTAACCCACCACATCCGGCATGCAGTTCTAGGTCCCAGACCTTGGTAGAATTAGACTACATATTTATAGACCAACAGCTCAGGTGCCTCTGCAAGACTCTGGGAGCATTTTTAATCAATGCATTTTCTAAAAATTAGAGGCTACTTGGTTTTAGCATTGGACTTGGTAGCAAAGATTGTGCCATCAGAAGAACCCCAGAACCCTAGATCCACTAAAGGGGGGATGATCCTCAGGACCGAGGTGCCTTCATCAGGGAAACAGCAGGGAAGCCAGCATGCTAGAAGGCCCACACTGATTTAGCTGCTTTACTTTTCTTTACAATCCTACTTCAGTACTTTGTGGTAAACTGGACCTAAAGTAGGATTTGGAAGTTCAGTGGAATTCATAGAGGCAGAATTCTACTGTTAAAAGGAGCAATGCTCGATCCCCAGTGGGGGGCACGCAGGACGCAGCCGATCAATGATTCTCTCTCAACACTGATGTTTCTATTTCTCTCCCTCTCCCTCTCCCTTCCTCTCTGAAATCAATAAAAATATATATTTTTTAAAAAGGGTACAAAAGCAAGCTAGTCAGTTTAGCTTCCCCCAGACTTAGCACTTACCCTCTGTGACCAACCAAATGAAGGACCCACTCGATCATTAAAATAAAACACACTTATAAAGTCACGGGTTGATATCTTTGCCATTTATTTTTTAAAATCTTATTCAAAATATTAAATAATACAACTTCAGATATGAAAAAAATTACTGCAATCAAACAGTCCAGGTGTATTTCCATTGTGCTTCCCTTCCTGATTAGGACCGTAAATTGTCCACCACGAGAAATGACGGACTGCCCTTCTCCTCCCATCTCTACACAAAGCACACACCCACCTGCTCACCGGGCTTTGTGAGTGGGCGTTTGATGTACATTAGGGGTTATATGTTCTAACAAGTTGGTATTGACACTTGTAAGTCAACCATGGTTCAAATCATATATTTATACATTGATCAATTCTTTATGACAGGCTAAAATAAAATACAGGATTAGTTTCCAGTTGCTGTTAAAAATAATACAGTGAGAGGAAACATCAGTGTACACATATATTCTTTATGTATACAACTTCATTCAGGTTTAATTTTAATTTGAAAGGCCTAGATATAATATTATTTAAGTAATAATGGCCCCTAAAATTTATTCAAACTTACTATAAGATAATAAACAATATGAAAAAATCTGATATAATTTTAAACTCTGCCCCCTGCTTGAAAGCTTGGAGGAACCCGTGCTATAATCAATTGCTAACTAAAAGCAATTGTACATGTATTTATTATTTTACCACAATTTCTACCTCTAAATTTAATTCAGTAATTCTAACCAAAAAATGGTATCTCTATAACATGTTACCAAAATCCACTGCAAACTGCAGCATCTCTACTGCCAGAATTTCTAGAAACATTTATTAACTGAGCTAAAATTGTGGTCATATTGAGTAATATTATTATCTTAAATTATGTTTAAATTATCCAAAACAATTTTCCTGGAGAAGAAAAATGTTACCTATATGCAAACCTATGTATGTATTATTACATACATCCTTGTAAATTACAGTTTGGGAGCACAAAGAAATGTGCTTTTAAAGGAGTATTTGGAGGGCAGGAAGAGAATCTGAATCAATAGTACTGGATATGTTAGAATTTAGTTACAAGTTTTGGATCTTTTTTAAAAGTAGCATCACTAATACTTCCAGAAGTACAAGAAAGAAATCTAAAACAATAAAGGGTAATGCTTAGCTCCACATTTTAGACACCTGACTGAATTCACCTCTGAAAGTGTAAAAAAATTATATACTCGTTTGTGATATTTAATTTCCAAAGCACCAAGGCAAAATAAAGAGAGACCCACCTCTCATTTAAATATCAATTGCCTATGGCAAAAATCTTCACGATATCATATAAAAAGTCAAGCAAATAATATTACATAATAAGCAAACTCAAATCATACTGCTTTAAAAAATATAATCATTGGTAATCTTCAGAGAAGGCATTGCCTCGTTAACATTCTGGTCTAGACGATGATATTCCACCGTTTTGGAACAAAGACCATCACGCCATTTCCTGCTTTGAACCAGAAGGAAAATCTGGAATAAGACAAAATAAATTAGACATACAGAAGAAAAAATGGAGGAGATGCTAAAAGTTTTTATAACAAGTGAATTACCTCTTTCCTAGGTTCCCAAATATGAAAAGTAAAATGTTAAAAACAGCAAAAAGGCTATTGTTTTCCATTTTATTATACATAGAGTGCTTGTTAGAAACAGATTCCTGGGCTCTCTCTTCAGAAATGAGTTAGTAGATTGCGGTGGAATCCAGGAACCCACCTGTTTAACACATCCCTTAGGTGTTTATAATAGAGATGACCCAAATTAAACACCGGGCACTAAACCACAAATAACCAAAAGGATTTTAGAATCACTGACTCTCAAATATGGAAGGCATTTTGACATTATCTGGTCGTTTTGTCATTTCTCAGGTAAAAAAAATCAAGGTCCCCAAGGAAAAGCTGGTTTGCCAGGAATCACAAAGCAAGTTACAATAAAGTCAAAATCTGAGACTTCCTGACCAGTATTAAAAAGGGCATTGTGTGTTGGATCTTCCTTTAATAAAATATTTGTAAAGCTTAACTATTCAGCTCTGGGACTAAGAGTACCAAAATGCACCCTCACGCTAAATTATTTATCCAGTCCTCTTTTTTTTTCTTTCTTTTTTTTTTAATCTTCACCCAAGGATATGTTTATTGATTTTTAGAGAGAAGAAGGGGCAGAGGGAGAAGAGAGGGGTGAGAAACATCAAAGTGAGAGAGAAACATCTATCAGTTGCCTCCTGTACGCACCCGTCCTTGCCCCAACTGGGATCAAACCTGAATCCTAGGTATGTGCCCTGACCAGGAACTGAACCTGCCACCTTTTGGTGTACAGGATGACACAAGGGCCATTCAGTCCTCTTATACCCCCTTTGCCTCATGGAATCTAACAAACCAATTCCAGTGCAGAAATGTTCGTCACATTATTTCTGAACTAAAAATTGGAAGTCACCTAAATGTTCAACTAGAAAACAGCTAAATAAAATATGTAGCTATTAAATCGTGTTTTTAAAGAATATTAATGATAATGGAAAATGCTCATGATTTGTTAGGTAGAAAGCACAATACAAAACTCTGTATGAGATCAAATTCATTTAAAAATTATAACATACAAAAAATAGTTAAAAATTATAACATACACATATATGTCTGAATTATATATATGTATATATGTGTGTGCGTGTGTGTATATATATATATGTATGTGTGTGTGTGTGCATATATATATATATATATATATATATACCAGAAATATACCAAAATGGTAATAATCCTCAGCTTTAAGTGGTAGCCTAAATGTTCATTTCTATATTTTTCTGTATTTTCTGAATTCCCTAAACTTTTACAACCAGGGAAAAAAGTTATTAAAATATCACTAAGTTCAATGCTTAATTAAAAGTACTAAATTAACCATCTTTCCCCACAAGTATTCCCATTGAAAAAGCAACGCTAAATTAAGATATAAAACCTTTTTACTTTTTTTAATCACAGGGTTTTGGCCCTGGAAGGTAGCTCAATTGGTTAAAGCAATGTCCAGATATGTCAAAGCTATTAGTTCAATCTTCAGTCAGGGCACATTCAAGAAGCAACCAATAAATATACATCAATAAGTGAAACAACAAATGAATGTTTCTCTCTCTTTCTCGCTCCTATCCCCTCCCCTCAAATCAATTTTTTTAAAATTATTTCTTTTCTTAGAAACACATGTAGTAAAACATTCTGACTATAGTTGTTAAAATATATCAGTGATGGCGAACCTATGACACGCATGTCAGAGGTGACACGTGAACTCATTTTTTTGGTTGATTTTTCTTTGTTAAATGGCATTTAAATATATAAAATAAATATCAAAATATAAGTCTTTCTTTTACTATGGTTGCAAATATCAAAAAATTTCTATATGTGACAAGGCACGAGAGTTAAGTTAGGGTTTTTCAAAATGCTGACACGCCAAGCTCAAAAGGTTCGCCATCACTGAAATATATCATAGATTTATAAACTGATTAGGCATGTCCATGTTTTACCATTTTAAACATGACTAAAGAGAAAATCCTGAATCACCAAAAGCATTGATAAGAAGT